AGCGGGAGCGCGGCGCCGGGCCCCGACGGGCTTCCAGGAGTCTGGCGGGAGTCTCGTCCTCGCAGGGACCTTGTTGGCAGTGCTTGCAAAAACGCCATCCTGTCGTTTCCCTGCGCGTAACTTGGTTTGCGTAATGGGCGAGGAAGTCGGTGCAAGAGACCGTGCGCGCGTTCGGTTCGCCTCCTGTAGAGGATTTTTGTAGGAGCTGACGGTAGCGGGCCTGCTGCTTTCCCGCAGGCGAAATGGCGCTTCCAGGAAAAAGCAGCGTGAGAGCTCCTGCAGCGGCCGCTGCCGCGTTTATGGTGGGGCAGTCCCGCAACGCTCGCTCTCCCTGGCGCGCAGAAACTGGTGAAGCACAGAGAAAGACGGAGTCTTTACTATGATCGCAGTTCTCTCTTCAAAAAATCTGCTCGTTTGTCCCTCGAACAGATTGATACGTGACACAGGTGTTTTCAGGTAATAAATGGAATCTAGAAGTCCCATCTACTTTCACGTTAGATGCTGACTAAATTGTCACTCATACGTCGTTTCATACTAAATGACATTGCATGAAGTTGTACCCACGTGCATAGTCTTTTGCAGTTTCCCACCCCAGTCAAAAACAAAGATGCAGAAGAATCTGTTAGTTGTCATTTATGTGTTTAAACCGATTTAGAGAACCTATGAGAAAAATACTGCAGATAATGGGACTGAAAAAAACATTTTTCATTACTTTTTCTAGTAAGAGATTGAGTGGTTTTTTCCGTAAGTCAATAAAAATAATCACAAATATAATCTGTAAAGACTCTTGGAGTTAATTTAATCAAGCCCTGAACATTTAAAAGTGTAATTCACTAGAAGTCCAGTAAGTGGCACGAATAGACCTTACAAAAATTGCTTAGTATGAAACGTCTTCCAAAACAACAGGCAGCGTGTTGAGCCACATCCTTTTTGAAGAGAGAACTGATGCATTTAGCAAAAATTATTTTAAAATTTTGCTATGAGCAGAAGTGAAGTTGTAGGTTTTATAGAGGCGTATCTTCCTGACAACAATATTCTCAAAGCTGGGATGGCCTCTCCAGTGCGGACACTGTACACAACTTTCAAAATACTTTCTTCCCACCCCAAAACCCTACATTATTCTGCAAGGATAGACCCATGTATTGTAGTGCTCCAAGGCATTATATTGGTTTTCCTCTTCTCGCCATCACAACCGTTGTCTTGTAACATTGTAATGCTATGTTAGCATTTTTTCCTTATGCGCTGGAGTGGTGATGACACACAGAGAGAGGTATTTTGGAAGCATTTCTTGTTATATCATGGGGAATTTACTATGAAAGGCTCTGACTCATACTTTCCTTTGCATGCTGTCCTGTGAAGCTAGGAACATAAACCAGTTATCAGTGCAGAGTCAGTTCTTGAGTCCTAGTTGTTCCTACTACCTTTCAGCCTTTTTCAAATGTATGTTATTTATCTGCTAGCAGAAGGGAAAGGGGAGACTCTATTAAGCCTGTTGATTCAGAATCTGAAGGAGAATTCTGTTTTTCTTTGTTTAAGAAAATACCTTCACAATGTATAAAGCACCACCAAGAGAAAAACAGAACTTCTAAAGTGCCGCCCTCCTTCACCTCTTCCTCCTAGCTTTTCCTTCTTAAATGTCTTTCCTGTAAGGAGCCTCTGGTGCTTGAGGAAGACTTTAGAGACAGTTTACATTAAAAATTGGTTTCTATGGAAGGAGGGGCACACAGGATGATCTGAAAACAGGATGTGTTTTGGACACATTCCTCTGGTTCTCTATTTTGGTTTTACTTAGAGATTCATTTCCTTTTCATAACTGCTTACTGTAGTTCAGTGACCTGCTGCATGAGTCAATTCTAATGCGTTACCTTCAATCTTATGATTGAAGTTTTTTTTAAGTATACTCTTTAGAAAACAGAAACACAGCACTGAGTTTAACTTGTGAGTTAATAAGGAGAGAAATGCAGCCTGTACCACAGTGGCGTGGCCTACAGAGACGGAGATAGATTCAGGTCTAAGAGAATGACTTCCCCTTTCCAGCCTTCTCACAGCAAACAAAGACTTTGATCTCATTTTAGAGAAAAGCACAAGAAACATTATCGGTCTGCTAGAATAGCAACAGAAAATTTCCAAAAGCTGATCTGGAGACGTTTAAAAACAACATAATGATAGTTGGGTTTTTTTCCTGCATTGCGAGTGGCAGTCTCTTGCCATTTAAAAGCTGAATGTGTGTCTCTGATGACATGCATTGTGGTGGTCTCCGCTGGGCTGGTACAGCCAGCAACCCTCCCTGCAATGAGGGAGGTAGTGGCAGAGCACCAGCACCCAGTGCTACCCTGTTCTGCTCATTTGTGGCCGCCTGCAGCTGAGTTTGGGTGGGTCCTTAGGATTTGCTGTCTGACGTTGCGAGAATACAGGCTTTTGGGGGGGTTTACTACAAAACCTCATTTAAACTGACTGTCGTCACTGAAGAAGTGAGCATTGACTGATTTAAAAAAAACAAATTCACCCTAATAATGCTTATGGTGGTTTGTCTAGAATACTAAAATGTGGATGGGTGTCTCTGTAGTACTATCATTAAGACCGTTTAGATTTCCATACGCTAACCAGCTCTAAGCTGCACTCACTTCACTTCAAGAGGTATGTTTGATCTGGAACGTAGTCTGCCTGTGGTTTTGCCAGTACTGCAGAATTAAGTATTATAATTTTAATTGATTATAAATTAATGGTGTAAACCATGGCATGTAGTCATTTGGTTTAAATATGCTTATGCTGAGATAGTATAGATTAGCACTGGAACTTGAAGGAGTCCTCTTTTAGCACTACCATAATAGCAAACCTTGAAATGAATAGAACTTACAGGTAAGAGTCTTACAGTGCTTTTCCTTTCTGGAATTGAACTGTACAAACTTTAAGTAACTTTTTTCCAATAATGACTTGATTTAACCTCTTCTACATAAAGTTCTGCAGCATATACATATGGAAAATTCATACATTTAGATCACTAGAGTAAAGGGGAGTACTATTCTTTGTAAAGACCAAAAAAATTAAACCTATGCATTGATCTTCTTAAAACTAGGACTTGAAAGCAGGACATATCGACATATCAAATGCAGTAAGACAAAGTGTAGAATGAGCATAGAAGTATCTACCTGCAGTGAAAGACATATTTACTGGAACTGGGGAATAAGTGACATTTTTTTAAAGGAATGTCACATGATGGTCATCAAACAGTAATAAATTGCAGAGGCACCTGCCAAAACCAGAGTTGTTAAAGATATACATCAAAAATATTATCATATTAGCTAGCAGAGTCCAAAAGCTGAGGAGCAAAGTTCATGTTAATGATTTGCAGTTAGGTGGCATTTGGGGCAAGACTGCCTCATAAGATTATCTTTTGTAGGACTTGGACCTGTGGATTCCTATTAGTGCCAAAATAACAGGATCCTGGTTCTACCAACATGTTTTAAACTCTGTTGGTTTTTTGAAACCTTGTACTTAAACAATTGAGATGTAGAATTTCCTACAATTTCATATGCATTGAACAGAAGAGCTTGATTAAAGACAGATTTTCACACAGTTCTTTTTTTACTTAACCTGAGGGGGGGAAAAAGGATTTTTGAAAGCTAGAAGTAATGATGTCTATCATTTGAGAAAGTAAAAATGAGAGTGGCAATGAAGTAGCAATGTAATCTGTTTTTTTCTTTAAAATGTAGGTGTTGGTAAACTAGTCACAAGTATTTCCTGGTTTTTTTAATGTGTATGTAAAGATTGTTGAATTTATTGCACATGAATAGAGGGAGTAATTGCATTTTGCTATTCATATTAGTGCCTTTCTTAAACTGAGTGCTTTAACAGATGCACTTTACATACATCTCAGTGACTAATGGAATTCTGCTGTATCTTGGTTGGGACTCAACATCTGTTTATTGGATGAGCTTCAACTGTGGTATTCAGGCAAACTGTTAGGGCAGTCATTTAGGGGTTGTAAAGGGTTTTAAAATTCTGCTTTTTTGAAATGTACCAATCAGCATCACACTGTTACGGTGCTATCCGCTTTTATATAGTGACAAAAGAGAAACCACGGTATCAACCATTTTCTATTTCCTTACGTGTTCAGTGTTCCCCTCAGTGGTTCTCCCATGTCAGAAAAAAATGAAATATTTAATTGTAGTTGATCTATTTGACTGTGATGCAATATAAAACAAATGTTGCCTTTTCCAATTTAGTGCAATAACAAAGATTGGGCTTCAAAGTATTTTCATGGAACAGGTATCGTAGCGGCTTGGTTATTGAGCCTTAACAAACAGCTTTGATAGTACTCCGCAAAGTTTTACTAACATATTGCAAAGTATACAGTTGTACAATTAAGTTTTTCCATATTGTAGAAAATCAAAAAATTTAACTCAATTTTTATATCTTGTTTTTAAAGTTCATGATTAAGTAAACATCTGTCCCTTGAATCTGGCAAACTGGCACTTTTCCAAATCAGAACAGAATGCAATATTACAAAGCACCAGTGTAATTAAAGAGGGAAGTAATTTGCATTATTTTTCTATAAAACTACTCTTGAGTAACAGATGGCGATCGCAAACATATTGCTCCAGAGACATATGGAAGCCTATTTGTTCCATAAAACTCAAGAGTGAATATTAACCCCAAAATGACTCTCTTCGATGCTAAAGTACGATTGTGTAATCTTCAGTATGGCCGTAATTACAGTACATAGCAACTCATGTCTCTGAAAATACAGATACAGGGAAATGTTTCAGAGATTAGTTTTTCATTTGCAGTTTCCTATAATCTGATTATTCATGCTAGTGTGAAATAATTAACCAATTTGGTTTGACTGCTTCAGTGCCAGGTTGCCATTATCATTTATAAACTTATATCTTGTAGTAAGTATTGTAACAACCCATCTTAACATCCAAACAGCCCAACTGCTAATTATACAGTACAAAAATGAACCAAGCAGCCATGTTTCCAAATTCCACCCTGAACTGTGCAGAGGTCTCCAAGCGTGTAAAAAAAAAAAAAATGAACCAACAATTCCCCCCCATCCTTGTTTTGCTGCCTTGATTCTGCTCTATCAGATGATACC